AAAAAAAAAAAAAAAAAAAATAAGGGCAAACAAACGTCAATTACAAAACATTTTTAGAATGTTGAATCAATCATGTATTTCTACACTCACAACCAGCTCTTCCCACCAATTCTCCTCCTTATGAACTACAGAACACACAAAAAATGACTAGTTTCTCAATTCTCCCAGGAATATCTAACTAGCACCATTGTAGCTGCCAGCAGATAAATTAATTCATTACTCACATTGGATGCCTTAGGAAATTAGGGCTTAATTCTCTCAAGGAACCCATGGAGAAAGACTGATTTGAAGGTCTTTCCTTTTTTTTTTAAACTTTGTTATTTAAAAAAAAAACCCCTTAAACACATTCTTACTTCATCTGAAACCTCTCCCCACACCACCTCTCACCAACTAACAGTTCACTGTGAAGCAAACCCAGTCATAATTTTATTCATAAATATTTCAGTATTATACCCAATCTTAAACCATGGTGATTACAAGAACGAATTTCCTTCACATTAATAATATACATTCAGTCCCATTTACCAAATATTCAGCAAGATGTAAACACTTCTCAGCTGGTCTAAAACATGCTAATCGAACACTAGTTATGTCTTTAGAATCTACTTCTAACACAGCGTAGCAGTGTATTATCAATAGGCTTAAGCAACCTTTAACACCTCTTGTTTCTGCTGTGCCACTTCTTTCACACATCTGGTGTTAGCATAAGCTTTGGTCTTTTTACCTTTTTTTTTTTTTTTTTTTTTTTTTAGAGACAGAGTCTCACTCTACCATCCACACTGGAACACAGTGGCTCAGTCAGCTTATTGCAGCCTCAACCTCCCAGGCTCAAGCCATCTTCCCACTTCAGCCTCCCAAGTAGCTGGGACCAAAGATGTGCACCACCATGTCCAGCTAATTTTTTTTTATTTTTGGTAGAGATGGGGCCTCACTATATTGCCTAGGCTGGCAACTCCTGACCTCAAGGGATCCTCCCACCTCAGCCTCCCAAAGTGCTGGGATTACAAGAAGGAGCCAGTGCACCTGGCCAGCTTGGGTCTTTTTAAAGCTCTCTATTCTTTTCCATTGACAGTATTTAGGAAGAAGCAATGTGTCTTCCCTTGTTTGCACTCTCCATCCCTTGCCCTCTTTTGTGTTGAGCCCATCAGTTCATAACACTGAAACTAGTGATGGTGGGGAGACTTAAAGTCTCAGTGGAGGGGAGACTATCTGTGCTTTCTATGTTTATAACAAGGGGACATGAATCCAGTTCATCTCAGAAACAGTGGAAGCTGAGCCGGGCACAGTGGCTCATGCCTGTAATCCCAGCACTTTGGGAGGCTGAGGTGGGCGGATCACCAGGTCAGGAGTTCAAGACCAGTCTGACCAATATGGTGAAACCCCGACTCTACTAAAAATCCAAAAATTAGCCAGGCATAGTGGTGCAAGCCTGTGGTCCCAATTACTTGGGAGGCTGAGGCAGGAGAATCGCTTGAACCTGGGAGATGGAGGTTGCAGTGACTAGATTTCTTGCCACTGCCCTCCAGTATGGGCGAAAAAAACAATGGAAGCCACAATGACACAAGTTAAAAAGTAGGCAACTACCTCCAGATCCTACTTCTCATGTGGTATAAAGCCCTTCTTTATAGCACCATGTTTTAATAATCTATAATGGGTTCAGATTGCTTTATTGGCCCATAACTAGATCTTGCCCCAAAGTCAAAGGCCAAGAGAAGATTTTAAAAGTAAGGCATAATAATCATATGCTGTTCTGTACAGCATCAGCTACATACAGACAAGTAGTATATTAAACCTAAAGAAAAATTAGCCTCAGGTCTGGTCGTGGTGGCTCACACCTGTAATTCCAGTACTTTGGGAGGCTAAGGTGAGAGAAACAGCTTGAGGCCAGGGGTTTGAGATCTGCCTGGGTAACATAGAGACCCAGTATCCACACACAAAAAAAAACTAGCTGGGTGTGGTGGTATGCACCTGTACTCCTAGCTACTCAGAAGGCTAAGGCAGGAAGGTTGCTTGAGTCCAAGAGTTTGAGGTTGCAGTGAGCTGTCATCATGTCACACTGCACTCCACTCTGGGTGCTGGGCGATGTCTTAAATGATAACATACCCAAATGTTTCTCAAGGAAAAAAATCCCTCTAAAAATCGGTCCCAGGAACAACTCCGAGGTCTTTTAGCAAGGATTGTTTTGGTCACACTGCCAGCACTCCTTGTAACAGTTTCTACAGAAGTACTGTCAACCACATCACATTTGCTTTTCTGTTTGATATCCTTTTTAGTGAGAGTATTATATACATCAGGCTCAACTCCTCAACAGATCATAAGAAAACACAATTAAAAGATGCTTCTGACCACCACCCTACCCCTAGACCCAAAAGACAGGAAAATCAATTGCAACTAGAAAAAACCTAAAGTAAGCTAATCCATGACAGGCACTGATAACTAAAACCTTCTAAGTAGTCATAGGAAAGCAGCCATTCAAATAATGTTGGCCTCAGTTGAATGGCGGAATCTTGCCAAGTCTACAAAAATCTTTCTTTTGATCACAGTATGAACAAGAGAAAAGTCCGTGTGGGTTTAAAGAAATGTAATAGAAAAGAAGATTTTAAAGTCAAAACTATTTTTCTACAGATATACGATTAAAAGAAATTCTTCAGATGATTCAGAGATATCTGAAAGCTCTCATGGTTAAACTTGGCATAACCTGAGTACGAAAAATATGACAGTAATGAATGATGATGTATTAAATTTACAAAGTGAACACTAGCTGGGCATGGTGGCTCACATCTGTAATCCCAGCACATTGGGAGGCTGAGGATGAATTATTGGAGGTCAAGAGTTTGAGACCAGGCTGGTCAACACAGTGAAACCCCATCTCTACTAAAAGCACAATAATTAACCAGGCGTGGTAGCATATATCTGTGATCCCAGCTACTTGGGAGGCTGAGGCAGGAGAATTGCATGAACCCAAGAAGTGGACGTTGCAGTGAGCTAGGATCGTGCCACTGCACTCCAGCCTGGGCAACAGAGTGAGGCTCTGTTTCAAAATAAATAAATAAATAAAAAGTGAACCCACCAGTCAAAAAAATGACATTAAATAAAGGGGTAAGGAGAGGGAACTCTTCTTTTTTTAAAGATGAATATCAACTAATAAACATAGAAAAATGAGAAAATTATAAAACTCACTATTTTTGCAATCACCACTGTAACAGATAATTAGGACAAAAATAATCAATGGATGCTAAAACTACATATTAACAAAGTATTTCCCCCAAATATTACAAAGGGGATAAAGGTACTGTTACACTGTATAAATGTGAGACTATCACCTTAACCATGTGATCAAACTTAATAATATTAAACTTATGACATTAGATGTCTCCTGATAGTATGCCCAAAGAACAACACAATATTCCATGCAGTAATCCTGCCAAAATCTAATAATAAGTAGTCAGCAAATCAAAATTAAGGTACATTCTGCAAAACAAAAACAAACATATCGCAAAAGATACCAACACCACCACCGCTTCTGACCCCAAAAAAACACTGGGGAACAGTTCTAGAATAAAGGAGACTAACTCAACCTGAGTTGAAAACAATGTATGGTCCTTGAGTGGGTCCTGATCGGGGAGGAAAAGATAAAAAGGACATTAACAGGAAAATAAGAAAATAGGAATAGGAATACATATTCCATGAACAGTGTTAACTTAAGTGACAATTATGGCTGTATTAAAGAATGTCCCTGTTTTTAGGCAAAACATGCTGAATCTATGTTTTTAGGAGTGTGTCATGATGCCTGCTAACTCTCAAATGGTTTGGCAGAAAAAGAAAAGTGGCAAAATGTTAATAATAGATAAATATCTAGGTGAAAAAAATGTATGACAGGTTCACTGTACTATTCTTGTAATCTTTGTATATTTGAAATTTATCAAAGTAAAAAATTGGGAAGCTGGGGTTTATCACAAAAAAAAGTACTTAAAGGATGTGTTACCTAACAAATTTAGGTACAAATACTGTTAAATTTCTAAATCTTAGAAAT